GTCGGTGTGGTGGTCTGGGAGGGGGGGGGGGGGGGGAGTGTAGCTCACAGCGCACGAGTATTGTGAGTTTACAGTTATGACCCATGTGAAAAATATCTCTGGTGTATTTGTGTGCAAACAGAAGATCCATTTAGAAAGGTGAGTCGCAGAACCAAAGTTCTTCAGTGTTAGTTAGTAATCCAATAGAGAGCTTCGTCCTCAGGGTAACACAGCGCTGGTGAACCTCAGTATATTCTATGTGATACAAAGCCACTTTCAACTCTTAGGTCTCTTGACAGTCATATATAGCTTAACATGCTACTGTATAGAGTTATCAAGGGAGCACTGACATCCCAAGAGGTCAAAATGTATCTTTGAAATTGTAACTGGGAGAATCACTAAGAACATTGACAGCTGTGGATAAAACCAGTTTTTATAACTTTCCCTTTTAAATGCAGCTTCTGTGTGGGAATTCACAAATGTCTTAGCATCCTTTCCTGCAGCCTACAAGGGGTATGTAACATATATGTGCACATGAGGCTCTGGTATGCACTCTGCCCGTGATTTTTTCCTCTTCATCAAAAAATTTAAAGATATTTGAGTTTACACCTGGCTACTCCAAACTGCTTGTATTCACCTTTAGTAATCCCATCTCCCTTGACCCACATCTATCCTTAATGTCCAGACATACAATTGATCTATGTATGTCATGTTAATTTATAATAGTAGCTCAGGCAAGTGCTATTGCCCTGTTATGGGGAAAATGCTCAAGTACATTTGTTTGCTTCATGGATTGCTTCACTGAGTTCCTCACCTGGGGATACCTTTAGTGGGTTTGAGAACTTGCCAGTTCTTTTCTTTGTTAGTGCTTGCCCAGCTGACTTTTGCTTCTGTAGCTGCTCCCCAGCTTCTTAGAAACGTCTTGGAAACTTGAGCTCACAGAGGCACTTATGTTCTGTGAGAGGTATTTGGGAACTAATAGAAACAGTGTGCAAAATGGATTAATCGAGTTTGAAAGCCATTTCTTCATGTGGCGAAGCGACAGGACATTGTGTCGAGTTTGCCATAGAAAATTCATATAGCCCTGCCTAGTCCTGCACACGAGCAAGCAATGCACTGTCTGTACAGTCCCAGCAGAAGATAAAGTCTAAGTAACACTGAGTGTTAGCAGGCAGAGAGAGAGAGTGAGCAATATGGCTTTGTCGGAGATATAGAGCTTTTCAATGATGGTTGTTTTCTTAAATGGATGATTTTCAGTTTAGTGGTCAACAAAGGTCGATGAGCTACATCCTATTCAGTAAGCATTGGAATTTTAAAAATATCTGATCCTTAGTCTCCCAGGAGGTGATAATATTACTTGGTGCTAAAGGAAGTTAACCCAGAGGACTTGTGAGCAGTTATTGGTTACCATTGCACTGCTTTTTGTATCACAGGTGACACAAAGTGAGGCTTCCAGGACACAGCTATAGCCGTCCTCTAATCTCAAAGCCCTGCTGCATATCATTGTGGAGTCTCTGGGAGCTAAAGCTGTTTTCTTGCTGATTTGCATTGGCTGCCTCATTGTCTTTTCAGCATGGAGGAAGATGTCTGGAACAGGGAAGCTGCCCCTGGGCCATTTGCTTTGCCTATTTTAGTCATGGCACAGCTGAAAAGAAAGTATAGAGTGTTTTCCTCTTTTTATCTGGTGAGAAGACTTGTTAATAGTTGATCCTTTTTGGTATATGGTGATAAACTATATTTTCATATATCTTTCTTTCATTCATATTTCCATGATTCTGCGACATTTGTGGCTTTTGCCTTTGCAATGCTATGCTACCAACTCATGGTATATCAAGCTTATTAATACTTTGAAAAGAAAGAAGTTGTGCCTGTTTCACATAAACAGTTAATGCCATTGTGGTAATATTACAGTTGCTGTCTTTTCCCACATAGCACAGATTCAGCAATCTATCTTCACTGTAATCACTATAAATTATACATTGCAGGGAATGTGATCAAGTTAGGAAATGCCAATCCTACATCTGTACATGTATGCTTGGCAACTCATGTAAACTCTTTTTATCTTTTTTTGCCTGATTGCAACATTGCTGTAGTGATCTTTACACACTTCATAAAATAATGGGAAGATGCAAGCTGCCGTTCAGCTGCTAGTAAATGGCACTGGGGGATCCCAGTATTGTTTGATTGGTCCTTTTTTGCCACAATGGACAGCTCTGTAACCACAGTTGGGGTTCTGGTGGGTCTTGTATGGTCAGTCCAGCCTTCTCCCACATTGTTACTGATAACGGAAATTTTATATAGGTCATTGGCCAGCTCAGTCTTCAAGCCATAATACATTTCATATAAATGAGTGAAGTGAAACAGTCAGATATGTACAAGACTTGGAAGACATTCAGGAGTATAAGCTTTGTGGAGTAGGTTTTCCACCAAAAGATGTTCTTCTGGGATCTCAGAAAAACAACAATTCAGTGTACTGCTACTTTATTTTGCAATATAAATTGTAATTTCACAAACCTTCATTATGATCCCCCAGGAGAGGACCCATCTGCCCAGTCATTGATAAACTCCATCCCCACCACAGGAGACAATATGTATTGGGGCAAGAATACAGTAGATGATTGTCTTCTAGCAGAAACCCCCCCACACTGTTTTATGCTTACCTTTACATACAGGTCACAAACAAATTGAAAATACAGAGAAGAGAGGTACCGCAAGCAGAGTCTGTGGAAACCCTGGAGTACAAGCGTCTGTTCCTGCTGTGCTGAGAGGATCAAGTGATATGGACAGTAGCAGCAGGGCTCTCAGAACACTAGTCCACACACCCTGACATGTCAGGACATCAGGAGCCAGATAGGAACCCGAGCTAGGTGAGGCAGGTGCAGAGGAGAACCTGCATAATTTTGCACAGGCAGTTGTCTCCTTCCCTATGCAATTGCCTACTCTGTTTCTGTTTAGAGCTGTCTGTGGTGATTATAAAAGCACCATACGATTTTCTTTTCTAAGCACATTTCTCTCCATAAAGTATCTAGCAAGTGATCTGAGTGTTTCAGTCTTAACAGATTGGGAAATGACTGTCATTCAACCAGAGCTTTCATGAGTTTGGGAGCTGGCAACTGTCTCTGCTTGGCTAACGTGGAAGAAAAGAGACCTCATAAGGTCGGGGCATGTTTGCCAGAGTGCTGACTAATGGGGAAATGTCAATGTCCTTGTGATCCACAACAGATTTCAAAGCAAAGTTCTGCAGGATAGCTGTTAAAAATATGAATAGCTCCATCCGGGCCAGACCTTCTCCTGCACAGATGCGTTTTCCTGCAAGCAAAAAATAATAAAAATGACAGTGGAGTATTTTGCTGGTAACTTATTTTAACCACTGTTCCATGGAAGTTCAGACATCTCACAATGGACAGGCAGCACTGCAGCATTTTGGGGAAGTAAATGAATTAAACTAGGGGCTAAGCATCTAGAACAATGAGTGCTCAGTGGGCAAAGGCAGTTTGAAGGCTTTGATTTCTCATGTTCTGCTGCTGTTTGATGGTAAGTTTGGAGAGAGAGAAGTTGCATGGCTGAGTCTCTCTTCATGTATCTCTTCTTGTAGAATGCAGTGGAGGAGCTTTTGTGGTTGCTAAAAAAGGAAATCAACTGAAACTCTAGTACAGGGGTTAGAGCTGCCCAGAAGTGACTCTAACAGATCACCAGACATCACTGTAGAGACCATGGTGATGGAGCCACTAAAATCTTCAAAGAGGTTCTAGGAGAGAATTGTCTAGAATCTGAAATAGAAAGAGGTCTTACCTGCAGAAAATGGCATGAAGTAGTCACTCTTTTTAAAGGTACCATTTGCATTCAGGAAATGTCCTGGGTCAAATTTTTCTGGATTTGGAAATTCCTTACTATCATGTAGGATGGAAGTCAGCATAGGGATTATCATAGTGTCCTGAATTAACAAAGAGAGGAGAATAAAGTTAAAATGGAGACGTGCTAAAGCAAAGTGGCATTGAGAAGTTCCCAGGGCTGAATAGAAGGGTAGTCAAAGTTTAACCAGTTTAAAATGAGCATTTAATAAATAAAACTGTGTGCCATTCATATGGCAAAGATTTTTTTAAATGAATTTTAATGGTGAGTCTGATTAGAGTATTTAATATTGCTTCCAAATAAATTAGAACTTTGCTTACATTTACGTGATAAAAATAGAAAGCTCTATCTCCCTCGTCACATAGAGGATGAAGTCTTTTTTTTTCAAATACAAGAGGTTGGACTCAATAACCTCCAGAATCCACTTCCAAACAACATTATTCTAATTCTAGATCACATTTCAGTGTTTTTTGAAAATAAAATACAATGAATAGAACACATCATTGTTTTCAAGAGATTATGACCTTTCTCAGGCACAGTGGAACAGACCTTGGGGATAAAATAGTCTCTGAACTTGATGTCTTTGATCACAGTATGTGGGACATTAAGTGGAAGGAAATCGATGAATCTCTGGATTTCATGGACCACAGCATCTGTGTAGGGCATCTGGCTCCGATCTGCCATGCAGGGGCTTCGGTCTCGGCCAATGACACAATCAATCTCCTTTTGCATTTTCTCTGTTAGGAAATAAATAAGTGTTGAATGGACAAGACCCCCATCTGTTTGCCTAAACCTCTCCCCATATTTACAGCAAAACTTGCTTTTAGTGCACCAGGAATGTATGAATGTACTTAGTACTGATATCTTTTTCCTGTGAATAGAACTAAGACTAATACACATTTCCACACTGCAAATGCACATTTCCTTACTCAGGGGACCATTGCCACATGTGGTAGTGACAGGAATTGTCCAAATTGATCCCATGACCTATTAAAAGTTTTCCGTTTTTTATTTCCTTTTCTATTACCTGCTATCTCTGGGTATTTCTGGAGAATCACAAGTCCATATCTCAGTGTGGTGCTGGTGGTCCCTGTTCCTGCAAGGAACAAGTCGAGCGTGGTTCTGCTCAAGGTCTCAATGGTGAATTCTGAGTGACCATTCCCTTTCTCCTGGAGGAAGATGTGGCAGAACATTTTGAATGACAAAGCTAAGCAGCTTGTTTAAAAAGGAGGGTCCTGTACCTGTAATGTATGATTTTAAACACATCTAGTGTCCTTTCAAAAATACGACACTCACTCTCCAGAACACCAACATTTATGGTACTTTTACTAAATAATATGTGGGAGGAGCATTGAATTACATCAACCAGATTGGTCTCCATCTTTCCTAACTTTGGCTAGTGCTGTTAATTCTGTGTTTAAAAATTCTTGATAAGAAAATGGAGAAGTAAGAATGAAGTTGATGTGCCAAGAAAAGCAAGTTCCCTCTGTATTTGCAAAAGCCCAGTGCCCTGCCACAACTGAAAGAAGCTGGTATCCAAGCAGTGTTTTTCTTATAATTCGATAAGTGTCTTGCTCTTACATTACCTGTTCCATTTTGTTAAGAAAAGCATCAATAAAATCTCGAGGACAAGTGGGATCCAGGGTTTCCTGGTGTTCCACTATGATTTCTGAAGTAAATTGATGAACTTTTTCAGTATTTTTTATCATTTTTTGATGAGGCCCAGGTAAGTACTCCATGATAGTTGGGATGAAATTGTATAACTGTAAAAATAAAATGGTGGAAAAGCACATTCTGATTAATGTGGATACAATAAAATGTTGTCCTAATTGTAACTATGAAAATGGGGCAATTAAACTGTTTTGGAACAGTAGGTCTGTATTGTTCAAGTGGATTTTAATGCTTTTTACTTTATGGTTTCACTATATTCAAGGATAGACTTCTCTTGAGCAATTTTTGCAATGATATCCTTCTTTGGATGTACAATGGCAATTCCATAAGGTAAGAAAACACAGGAATTGGTTATTTAACTGCCTATTTGGTTTTCAAAATTTTTTTCCAAATGTAGGAAAATCCACTCCAATAAAAAAATAATAACATGAGTAAATATTCATTAATAAAATATTATAAAAATTAACAAATTTATTAATTAAATAAAACTGTACACACCTGTATTTGTATAGAGTTCTGGAGCCTGTTGTTTTCATCTAGCAACTCAATTAAAGTTAGAAATTTCTTGTCCTCATAGTCAAAGCGATCCCCAAAGATGATGGAGCAGATGATGTTGGAAACAGCATGGACTAGGAAGTTGCCAGGGTTGAAGGGTCTCTCTGCAACAACAGAAAACCAATGGTATCATCTTGCTTTCAGTATTTCAGGCATCATGCCCTCCTCTGACACTATAGGGAAGCTTTGCATCCTCTTCAGACCCAGAGTTTTGCACTCCTTTGAAAGGATGGTGAAGAGCTTATCCAATTTATTCTTCTCTACTTTAACTAATTTCCCTGTTGAACGGTTTAAGAATCTCTTTTGTCCTGTTCTCAGCAGAACACTAGTCTGAGTGGCTTCATTCCTCTTCAGCTCACACATGCCTGTCTGCCTTATAGACTGTTTATTAGAAATAGCCTAAAGATTCCCACCAAAACCCGTAAGGACTTTGCCTGAGCCATGTCTTTAGGTTATTACACCCTGTTTATGAACTCTATTAGTGTAACCTCAGTTGTATAACTCTCTCCTAGAGGTTCAAATGCCTGTGGTCAAAGTCTAGGTTTGATAGCACAGCTGCATAAGCATCTAAGAAAACTACAGTGTGAGAAAAAAGTGATATAAGACCCAAGAATGAAAGGAAAGGTATAACTGCAGACAGTCATAGGGTGCATCTCAAGGGTTCAAGAGGAGAAACAACAACATGAAAAGTTATAAAATCCTAAAAATAAAAAAAAGAGTCAGAAAATGGCAACTTGGCAGCATTGAGGATCAGCCTATTCCAAGGAGCAATGGCACCAACTCTTCTCTGCCTGACTGATGACTCCATGGCCCTTGAAGTCTCAGCAGATATCTCATTGGATGTGATGAGTATATTAATGCTGAGCCTAGTAGATAACTAGTCCTAGCTATTTATTATTTCCATTAAGAGTAAATAATGGCTTTATACTTTTCAGTTGTATATATCTTGCTTGCAAAGCCTTTTAGTATACAGTAAAAGATGCCATAACAAGGTAAGCCAGAGATGGAGGCTTGCAGTAGGGCACAGGAAATACAGTATTACTGTATTAGTGAAAGGATAAGAGCAATACAGGTGAGAATGTTTTCTCTGATTTGTAGCAGGAGTGTTTATCTGTGAATCCAGACTGAATTTGCTAGCGGCTCACAGGAAACTGATGTTTCAGCATTCTGCTTTTCCCCCCTTGCAGAATAAGCACACATTGAAGGCTGGCTGTGGAAAGGAAGCCTGTGGTCCAGGCTGGTACTGTGCCACTCTCAGGGGAAGCACTTAGAAGTAACATTGTCTTCTATACTACCAGGAAACAGATTTATAGGTCGAAACCTATAAGGCGGTTACACTGGTCTCCTACATTTATCCCTCCATACTGTCACAGTGCCTTTGACTGACCTACTCCCAGCAGTGATAACTTTGCCTGTGGGAGCAGAAACAGCAGCCACATGCCCACTTCTTGGGTCACAGATTTGGTGAAGCAGTCCTATACCCCTCACTGCCTCATTGCAGGTATGCAGAGTGTCCCAGCAGGCACAAAGTCCATGTCCTACCATGTGTGTTCCTGATCCTCTCCACCAGAAAATGAGCTTCCTCCTGGATTCGCTCCTCGATGCTCTTCTTCCCCATCCCAAAATCCCTCAAGGTGGTGAGTGCAAATCGTCGGAGCTGCTTCCAGGTCTCCCCATTGCTTGTCACAATGCCTGATACAGGAAGGAAAAATAGACATCCATGAGGAAACAGATTTTTCTTTTTCCTGAATGGGAGCTACACAGTAAGTACTTCACAAACATACAAAGACACTGCTCTGTGGAGTTATACTGAAATTGCTATATGCCCCAAAATGTAACTTCTCTGCAATTCTGGAGGGGACAAATCTGATCCATCTGTCACACCACTTTGAGTAAAACTGAGTTTATTCCCAGAATAAGAAAATCTATGTTAGGTTGTAAATAACAAGGTAACACTGGTACTGAATTGATCTTGACCACAAGCACATGGCCTTTGCGCTAACATAACTGCTCGTACATTCTGCTGTGTACCTTCACACTGCATATCATTATTTGCAATACCATTGATACTGTAATATAGTACCATGGAATAGGTACTATTTACCCAGATACATGCCATACTGGGAACTACCCTGGTGAATAAGCTCAGGGCTTTACCTTGAATGTGGTCCTTACTGGGGCAGCCTATATTATCTTGTCTTTGTTGTGCTGTGGACTTTCCTGTTGCTGGTTGCTTAGCTGTATGTATGTTGTCAATATTTTCAGAAATGGGAGAATGTAAGATCTTAGAGGCACATTTTTTAATAACAAATTTTTAGCCAGAATTTAAAACATGCTGAAAATAGGAAGGCACTCAGTGAAGCCAACCTGGGACCTTAAACAGTCTCCAGGGGTCCAATTTACTCAAGGGTCCAAGTAATGAGTTGGACTTTTAGTCTTTTATTGCTAATTTGTATGCATGAAAGGAGTAAATGAAATGCACCATTCTGTCCTCAACTGCCCTCTCAGCTGTGCTCCTGAAGCACTGACAGCATCAGCTTTGTATGCTAACATTACCTGTGCCTTGGAAGAGTTTTTTAAGCAGTGGTAGATTGCCCCTTCCGCTGAAGTCATCTGCCTGATCAATCAGAGCTTCTTTCACAACTTCATAGCCATAGAGCACCACAGCCTTTTGTGGGCCTAAATATATTGTGAAGACAGGACCGTACTTCTTGCTGAGCTATAGGAAAGAGGAACAAAAAGAACAACATGTGTGAATGTTAATCATGTGAAAAGAAGTTTGTAGCGAAAGGATCTGAGGGTTGATGTGCCATTGTCCCATCATCGCTGAGACATAGCATTGATTAGCAGCAGTGCAGAGGTCTTTCAACTATGAATTATAGCCAGGGGAAGAGGGAATTGTACAAGAAATAGGGGATATGAATGGAAATAGTGAGGTGTCAAGTCCAAATCCCAGAAAAGAAAATAGTTCTTCATGGGACTGGCAAAACAGTCTGGAATGCCTTTCTAGAGAGCAGAGTGGATAACAGTTTACATGGGCTCAAAAAGCAATTATATACACTTACGGAAGCAAGCACCTAAAGGGTTTTTGAGCATAAGCATACCACATTTGTCTCTAAAATCTCCTGGGCCATGACCTCTGGAAATTGAGCAAGTATATGAGTGGAGGGTCACTGCATCCTTGCACTAATCATGTACTCTTTCCCAGGCATCTGCTTTTGGCTACAGTTGCAGAAAGGTTCTTGGGCTACTTGGTCCAACCTAGAACACTTCTTGTGCTCACTTTTTAAGAGCAAACTAGATATAGTCCCAGGTTTTTTGTGGTGGGATACTGAATAACCTAGCGCTCTGAAACAAAGCAGAATGCCTGAGAGTGCTCATGATTCTCAACGTTCATAAGTACGAAGGCAAAAAGGACCTCATATGGGTATGTGTGCATCTGACAATACACACGGTGATGTCAACCATCACCACAATTTCGCTCTGAAGAACTCAGGGACACCCGCCTTTCCCACCCATCTGCCACCATCCCCTCACAGTCCCCTAATGAACAGGCACTCCAGCTGAACTCCCTCCACCTATCCCCTCCCAGGCCTTGCAACGCACAGGTTTTGTTTGACAGATGGGTGATGTCAGCCAGAGGAGGGAATGGACAGCACAATTCACCTCCAAACTTTTTTGCTTCAACCCCTTCACTTGCTACTTCCACTCCTAGGAGATCTGACCCATCTGCTAGTGAGCAGAGGCAGCAAAATGGAGCAGGGTCCTCCCCCAAAAAGGGCCAGGCCATGTTGCTAGTGTGGTGAGGAGTTGGGCACAGGAGAAGTATAGTGAATATTGCAATAGCATTAGTGCCTTGATTGCAAATCCACTGCAAATTGTAGTACTGCTGTGAGGTCAGCACAGTACTCATCATTAGTATGATACTGCAAATATATAGACTTAGACTTGCAATATATAGACTTAGATACAGACTTAGATATATAATTTATTGCAATGTATAGACTTCAGAAGCATGTATTTCTGGGAAACCATTTGTTTCTGTTTGAGTCTGATGTTTGGTCAATGCAAATTAAGCTTGTGAATTAAACTGAGAGTCTGGACTGGGCTTTGTTTTATATGCAATGGAGACAATGTAAGAAAGAAGGACACAGTCCCTTACCTTCTTCAAGCTTTCAGGCAAGTTCCACACGTTCAGCTGGAGTATGTTTCCAACAATGGGGAGTGTGATGGGACCAGGAGGCTGCTTCTCTTTTTGCGATATGCTTCTCCATGAGGCAAAGAGAAGAAGGCATGAGATGCAGAGCAGCAAGAAAATAGTGGTCATTCCCAGGAGCTCCATGGTGGGCTGAGGAAGAGAAGACAAGTGTCAGAAGAGCCTGATGTTGGACCTGTAAATTCATGCTTATTTATATGCTATGATACCAAAGCACACAGATGAAATTAGCCAATAGTCCCTTCCTATTCCTGCTGAGATATGAGATTACTTATTAACCTGCTCAAGATAAGAATGAACAAGCTAGGGATGAACTCCTTGTTTGCATGCTGATTTTTTACCTCTCCAGCTTGTGGTCCTTTGGGTAATCATTCATGTAGGACTAAAGAAATCATGTTCTAATGCTGTCAAACAAACTCAAAATGCAGAATTATTTAGAGCCTAGCTGCTATGTATATGCTTAAACTCTTGCTGTTTGCCCTCATGCATAGATTGATATCTGCCAGTCCCTCTAGTATCTGAGCACAGTGTAGGGAGGTGTGGTTGAAAAAGGGCATCACTCCAAGTTCCTCCTAGGAATTTCGCCTCTATTTCTGGAATGAAATTATGCAATTGTACCCAAGTCACACATTCAGATTTTGAGGAATACACTCATTTTGTCTTAATCTGACATTTCAACCAGACAAACCATACTGCCTACAGCATTTACATGGTCAGAGGCTCCCCCCAAACCACAAATCCCTGCAGCAACCTGCTGTCTCCATTCTGATGTTTCTAGAAACTAGTTGAAGATCCATAGAAGGATCATGAAAGGTAAAGACACCCTGAACAGAGCTTAACAGAATGATTAGCTTAATTAATATCAAGTATTTAATGCAATGTAAAATCTTAAATGAAATGTTATGCTTCCCACTTCTCCTCCCTACAGGAATCTAAACCCCTACAAACAGGGTGAGAACTGTGTGTGTTTTCTGGCAGAGAAGTAGAGCAGAACAGTGATTCAGTCATCTGAGACTGAAGAGTTGATCCCAGGACTCTGTTGCCAAATTTTGTCTGTACATCATAGGGGTTGTCTATAAAGTGCTAGTGATCTACTGTAACCACTGTACTCAGACTCCTACAGCCCCTTGGGTCTAATGTGCCTCCCTGCCATTCCTCCACTTTCCACTCAGCCCCAACTACAAGGCACGGCATTAGGCTGTGTATTTCCTTTATATGTGACTTTCTGCAAGGAGATACTGATCCTTTCTTGGAGCACATTTGAACACAGTAGCTATAGCAAGATGAGTAGAGCAAGTCAGGGAAGCTTGGAGGAAACATCACTGTACAAGGGGATGTGAAAGGGGCTGCACGTTCAGCAGGCACTCAGGCTTGCTGCTGGCCAGGGCTGGGTGGATGATATCTTCTTAAAACTAAGTAGGTATGGGAAGGAGTCTGAATAACAGGTATGCCTTTCCTAAACTAGACACATAATTACTAAATGGCATAGCTCAAGTTTCAGGAACCCTGTAGTGCAGTAAACCAGTGAAGTAGGTACAAGGTGAGAAAAAGAAAGTTAGTAGGTGCAAAATTATACTTATTTTCTGACACTGCTTAAGTGTCAAGAGCATGAATTACTCTTTGGTTATTAAGGTTAATGAATGTTACTAAACTTGATTTTTGAGAGCAATATAATAGTCCTAAAGCAGTATTAATTCAGACTCAGTGAAGCCCCAGTAAGGAAAGAAAGAAACAAGGGAAGAGGACATGGGGTGTAGAGAATGGAAGCTGATAACAACTGCAGCTTAAGGAATGGAATGGGAACATACTGGAATAGAAACACAGTTTTATCACTGAAGGAAATCTGTGTAATAAGAAAGAAACATGAAATTACTCTTAAACTCTATCTGAATGAGAATCTGTGTCAAATGATATTATTTTCATGTTTATCTCTGATTAACAAAGGTCAGATATTTCCTATCTATGAAACTGGTGCTCAAAGACAGTGCAGCGTATAATGCTGGCAAGAAAAATGGAGTGGGTCAAACAGAGTTGCTCTGTAGCAAAACCTCCCTGGACAGCTTTGTTTGAAAAAGCTTGGGGTTTTTTCCCCCCCTTTTTTTTCCCTCTCCCCTCCCCTGTTCTTGAGAAGCTTTGTGTTTTGCAGCCCCAGATCCCCAGCAGGAGTGATAAGTCCCCATTTCTATGTTCCCTGGGTAGGTCTGGCCCCACAGAAGAGCCCTTCGCCATCACCCCATAGGGTCTGGTCACACTCTCCCGCTCTTCGGCTCAGACACCTGGATCTTTGCCCAGCACCTGTTTGGTAGTGGGTGAGCATTAAACGGGTGTCAGTGTCCTCCGGCTATGCCTATTTCTCTCCACACACTAGAGAGGGAGCTTATCCAGACTTTCAGACAACTAATGTCAGATGAGACAGATCCCACCCAAACAACCATGTCAGGGACCATTTCAGTTCCTCTGAGCCAGTGAAACAGGCTCTGCCACCTGCCAGCACTCAGCCCATCCCATTACATCTTTTGAGACACATAGCCAAAATGATACTGACCCCTTAGGTGGTGCGACACTGGAAGGAAGTGTTAAAACAATGGATATATTCTTATATATCCTATATATATATTCTTTTATATATCTATATCTATCTAAGTCTCTTATTTGTCTCTCAGGTAATGGTAATGGGCTATGAAAGGCATTTTCTTTCCTGCACCAACCAACTCATTGGCTTAGAACTTGAGTCCACATTGGTTCAATCGGGTTTTGAGTGCCCACATCTGCACTTTCATGTGTACAAAAATAACCAGATACACTGTGAATACCAGCCTTTGTTTTCTACTGAGCTGCCAAAATGGGATTTAAAGGATGGGCAGATTTTATCTTTAGGCCAATTAGCTGAGGACTAGCAGATTCTACAGCAGTGAGGAAAGAAACATTTCCCACCTAAATTTAGATATCAAAAAGGTAGGTGTACAAATCAGGTAGTCGCCCCTGTTAGTGGAGAAACACTGATACTTCCAGAGAATGGGTCATCTGGCATTCTCATGCACCTATTTTAGTGTGAAGTTTGTCAGTCACTAAAGAAGTTTATTTGTTTTCCTTAACTACAAAGGGAACCTCAAGAGACTTACACAGATTTACATATCTGACTGCTAGGGATCTGTTTTGGGGCAGATAACTCTGATACCCTGTGCATCTCTCCTGGCCCTAATGAAGTTTTTTTTACCAGCAACAAATTCTGCAAATTCTGGTACAACAGGCATTGCTCTGAATACTGCACACCAAGGGTATTTAAAACCAGAAGTGGGCAGATGGGTGAAATTCAGAGGAGCCTTCTAGGTTGTGTCTGGAGAGATGATTATATGATTGAGAACAGTCAGTTTTAGTGTTGTCAAGGAAAAACTGAAGTTGTTTGTATTTTCTTTTACTGATAAGTTGCCTTGCATTCCTCTATTGGCATCCCCAAAACAACTGCTGTGAATCCTAATGCGCTGGAAAAGCAGGGCTTTGCTCACAGAGTCAATCCCACATCTGGACGTGGCTTTTTAATTATTTATCTAATTAACTTGCATAATCCCTAAAGGGTTTCAAAATGGTATTGGGATAAAGCCAGAACTGCTTGGAGCGATCCGTGAGTTTCACTGGGAAGAGATTTAACTGCCAAAGGTCTTGGGTCACGTCTGATGACAGGAAGACAGGAATTATTTGAGTATGAGAGGCTATTTGAATATGAGAGGCCCATCTTGATACAGTTCGCATACACAAGAAGTACCTGAAAGACTCTGCTTTCTTCCCAGTGTGGTATGAAAGCAGATGCTGGGGCCTCTGGTCTTGTTATGAAATGGCACCATTCTCTGGCTTCACCTGTGAATCTGAGCTCGAATTGACAGGGTGGGACACCATTGTATGAACTAATCTTTCAAAATCCAGGCCTTACTCTGAATGTCTTCCAGAGGATGTTGCTTTGCGCAGCCTGCCTAGTGGCATGTATGGTCCGGCTCCTGGGATCCCATCCTGTGCTTACAAGCAGCCTTCAATCTGGAACCTGGACTTACTGTTTAATTCACTTGCTTTGTTCTCCTCCAGCTTGGGTCTGTGTGAAAAAAGACACCTTTTTATCCCCAAAACAGCCCCTTCAAGTGTATTCACAGCCTCCAAGGGTATACAGGCTCTGGCTTCTTCACAGCAGCTAGTATGGCGCTGTGTTTTAGCTTGTGACAAAAACAGCATTGATAACACACTAGTGTTGCACCAACTGTGCAAGCTCCAACCTCTTTCAAAAGTCTCCTGGGCTATCTGCTCCAGTCAAGCACTTTGTGAAGGCTGGATAATACTTGTACATACACCTTAAGACATCTAGCATTTGAATCTTTTCTCACCCCTGAGACACAACTATATGTTTGATATGCTTTAGGGAGGAAAGAAATAAGCAGGGAAGGCTGGCTGGCTACAACCAAAGGTTTTGGTGGGGAAAGGTCTTCCTGATCTCATGAAGACTGTAGATCAATCTGCAACATTATCGGCAACATTAGCATCTCTTTAGATAGGCCAAATTTCCCATCTTTCCTTAAACTTTACAAGGACAAAGCCTTTCTACCCTTTCTCTTTGCTAGGAGGAGGCTGGGAAGTGGTGGGGAGAAACAAGACATGCAAAAGATTGTGCTGCAGCAGCTCTTCCTTCCTGCTGCTGTGGAGGGCAGCCCCTGGACAGATAAATACAAGAGGCTCTACAACTGATGAAGCCTGGAAATCTGACAGCACTCCTAGAGAACGTCTGATACCCTTTGTTTTTTGGGAGACTGAGGTCATGGAAGAGGAGACCATGTCAGAGTTTTTATTCATTATTTTTTCCTCCATTGTAGCCTGAATATTAAGGGGGCTCTATGCCAAGTAGGATGCCCAAAAAAGCAAACCAAACATTAGGCATTATTAAAAAAGGAATAGAGAACACAAAAGGCACCTCTTTACATCACCATACAAGCCCATGGTGGACCTTTAGCTGGAATTCTGTGTGAAGCTGCAATTCCAAAAGGATGGTGTAGACCTTGAAAAGCCTTAGAATAAGGCATTTAGGATGACTTAAAGTCTGGAAGGACTGGTTAAATGGACTAGGTCTCTCTGGGCTGGGAAAGATA